AACTACATTGTCTGGGTTGTCCGGGATATCCAAATCTTTCTGATATAATTCCTCAGTGTATTCTTGCCACCTCTTCTTGATGTCTTCTGTTTCTGTTAGGTCCCTACCATTTTTGTCCTTTATCATGTCCATCTTTGCGCAAAATGTTCCTCTAATATCTCCAATTTTCCTGAACAGATCTCTGGTTTTTCCTTTTCTGTTATTTTCCTCTATTTCTTTGCATTGTTCATTTAAGAAGCATTAACAGAATGGAACCAATTACCCTGGTGATGAGTTTTCCAGCATTGGAGGCATTCAAGAGAAAAATAACAGAAAATGTTTGCTTGATATGCTAGCACAGACTAACAGGACTACCTCTTCAAAAAACAAACAAACAAACAAAAAAAAACTACCACTAATCACAAGTGAGCCTGGTCTTTTTTCACCTTCATTTATTGTTTGTTTTGTTTTCTACCTGGCACAGCCTGTCTAGTCATTCCACACTCATTGCTTTTTTTTTCAGTTTCTGGCATGTGTGATTATATCAGTCAAAAAGGGCAGTGGATTGGGTATCTTTGGGTGAGATTGCCAGTGAGGCATATTATTTACAAAATTGACATAGCATAGAATTGTTATAACCACGTTGGCAGTGAGGCATATTTATTTACAAAATTATCCATTGACATAGCATAGAATTGTTATAACCACTTGTGAAATGATAATGTTTATCGTATAGTGTTATACTGGGAACATATAATTTTTTAAAAAATTGAGGAAAGATAAGATAAACTCACTGCTGTAGTGGCATGCTGCTCCCTGCCAAAGGATATGCCAATACAGCTGGAACATTTCCCTCGAGTGCCTCTTCTATTTTGCCTGAATATTTTTTTAAAAAATTATGCTTTTCCATTATGGTACTATGTCAGGTAAGGGCTGCTGTTTCAAGTGGTTATATTACTTTAGTGCTATGTCACTGCCTCCATCAGAAAAAAAAGCAGTGAAGAGGACAATGTTAATGACAGAGAAGGGTGAGCAACCAATGATCTTAATAAGAATTGTAGTGATTTGAGAAGTGGTGTGGGCTTTTGCCCTGAAAACTGTCTGGGATAATTCAGCATAGTGTGTGAACAGCAATAGCTATTTAATGGCCATAGAAAAAACAGAATCCATCAGAGTTAACTCAGGAGAGCCTCTCTGTCTAGTTGCACCCTTAGATTGTGTCAGCCACCAAGGAGCTGAAATGGAAAGGCAGAACACACACAGAATGCCACTTCCTTGTCTATGGCCCATGGAAGATTCAGTGCCTCCTTCCCCTCAATATTAAAATGTCTGCAAGGACATACAACAGGCCTCTTAGTATGTGACGAGGTTGGGATGAGGTCCTGCCTCCTTGCAGTTTTCTCTGAAAAGCCCATCTGTCTGAGAGAGAGGCGAAGGGGGCATGTGGTAACTTACAGTCTGCTCCAAACACAAATATGTCCTCGGGCGTGCTGAAGTCAGTATTAAGGGAGGTTCCATTGCGCAAAGTCAGATCATCCCGTGGGTTGCCATTTATGTTCCCAAAGAGCCCCTGCAAGTGATTCTGGAACTTTTCTGGCAGCAAAACCGTCAAGCTCAGTGACCTTGCCTTCCACCTGCTCACTTCCACACCAGCACCAGAGGAGAACATTACTGTGACATTCAGCCCAGGTGTAGTAGATAGGAAGAGACCTATGCAAGAGGTGAAAACGACAGGTAAGCATCTTGGTCAGGCACAGTAGTGTGTGTGTGTGTGTGTGTGGAGAGAACGGACCAAATCCTTGAGAGTCTTCAGTGAGGATGGGTTTGCCTCTCTATATGCCCTTTCCTTGGCAGCATCTGATGATCATGTGTGGGGAAAGCTCAGAGGCGGAGGCAAGACTCTCTGGTTAGCAGGAGCAACCATGGGCCATGCAATAATCTGCTGTTCCACAGTAGCTAAATCTGTTGCGAGCATCTTGATTTAAGGAGTCATCCTTACGTATTTCATATCAATGATTATCCTGCAAATTAGTCACAAAGTTGAAACTCCTAAGAACATAAGAAGAACCCTGCTGGATCAGGCCAAGGGCCCCTCTTGTCCAGCTTCTTGTATCTCACAGTGGCCCCACCAGATGCCTCTGGGAGTGCATGAGACAACAAGATATCTGTCTCCTGATGTATTTGGCGGTCCCTTGCTTCGAAGCCTGGCTTGTAACCTGAAATGGACTTTTCATCCAGGAATCTCTCCAAGCCCCTTTTAAAGGCAATTAGGCCAGATGCCATCACCACATCCTGTGGCAAAGTGTTCCACAGACTAACAGCATGCTGGGTAAAATTTTCTTTTGTCTGTTCTCACTCTCCCAACACTCAATTGCAGTAGATGTCCCCTGGTTCTGGAATTGTGAGTGGGGGGGAGAGCTTTCTTCTATCCACTTGATCCATACCCTGCATACTGTAATTTTATACATCTCAATCACGTTCCCCCTCAGGCGCCTTTTCTCTAAAGCGTCCCAAACGCTGTAGCCTTTCCTCATGAGGGAGGTGCCCCAGCCCAGTCATTATCTGAGTCGCTCTCCTCTGCACCTTTTCCAGTTCCACGATGACTTTCTTGAGGTGTGGCAACCAGAACCAATATTCCATGTGTGGCCTTACCAGCATTTTGTACAATGGCAATATTATGTTGGCTGTTTTATTTCCAATCCCCCTTTTTAATGATACCTGGCATGGAATTAGGGGACATGGTGGACATGGAATTGGCCTTCCTCACTGCTGCTGCACACAGGGTGGTCACTTTCATCGAGCTGTCCATCAGCACACCAAGATCTCTTTCCTGATCCATCATAGACAGCTCAGAACCCATCAACTTGGCCACCTCACTGCTTATCCTTGTCTCCAGGTCATTGATGAACAGGTTGGAAAGCACCAGTCCCAGGACAGACTCAACCAATTCTCAACCCATAAGAGGACCTGCCCTCTTATCCCCTGACTGGAGAGTTTACTCAGCAGTCTTTGATGAGGGACCATGTCAAATGCCATCTGAAAATCCAGATAGACAAGATCCACTGGTTCGCCTACATCAACATGCCTGTTGACCTTTTCAAAGAATTCTAAAAAGTTTGTGAGTCAAGACTTACCCTTACGGAAGCCATGCTGATTTTCCCTCAGCAAGGCTTGCTCTTCTATGTGTTTTAAGACTTTATCTTGGAGGACATTTCCACCATCTTCCCTGGAAGAAATGTTTGGCTAACATGCCTGTAGTTTTCCAGGTCCCCCCTCCTTCCCCTTTTAAAGATGGTGTGACATGTACTATCTTCCAGTCCTCTGGCACTGTGGCTGTTTTAAGGGACAAGTTGTATATTTTAGTTAAGAGCTCAGCAACTTCATTCCTCAGTTCCTTAATAACTTTTGGGTGGATGCCATCTGGGCCCGGTGACTTATTGAACTTCAATTTATCGATTAGGTCTAAAACATCCTCTCTTCTAACCTGTATCTGATTTAATTCATTAGTCAGGAGGGACCATTCGGGCAGCAGATTCTGCCTAAGATCTTCTGTCGTGAGATGTGAAGAACTCATTTAACTCCAGACAAGGACTAGATTTGGAGAGCCCTTCTCAGCCCTTCTTGATTAACTACACAATTTGCCTTCTTTCTCTTTTGAGATAGATAACAGCCTTTATAGTTTTCTAATACCCTAACATCCCAACCAGGTGCAGATTTGTTGAGCAGTTATAGCCACCGGATGCAACAGGATGATTTTCTTGGTCGTTTCACCAAAGGCTTCAGTGTACGTTCCAGAAGCTGAAGGTGCCTTTTGTCAAAATGCTGCAGCTATCAGAGGTTTCAGTCAACACCATTCATAAGAATATAATATTTCTCAAATCACGTTAAGCCACCCCCTCCCCCAGAATCTCAGTTCCCAACTTAATTATGTCTCCTTCAGAATTAAGAACTGACAGATGCTAAGGAGACAAGATACTGGAAGTGGGAGACTAGTGAGATGAGGGCTTGGTCTAACCTCTGCACATTCCTTGCCTCCAGAGACCAGTGTCATGAAAGGAAAAGAGGCACAGCTGGAACTGGCTGTAGGGGATAGCAGCCCAACCCAGCAGGACCTTATCCCTGGTGGGTTAATCCCCCAGGACGAGCACCATCTGGGTGCTGGCATTACACAATGTAATGCCAGGCACAGAGAGGGATCCTGGACCTGCAGGCAGAAGGCAGGGTGAAATGTCCAGAAACTTTGGGAAGCCAAGGGACAGGAGGAGGCTGACCTGTGGTGGGGGAGGTGGTGAGAGGAGAAGGAGAGTGTGGAGTGACACTCTTGAATGATGATTTCATCTTTGCCAACCATCTGGGTGCTGGCATTACACAATGTAATGCCAGGCACAGAGAGGGATCCTGGACCTGCAGGCAGAAGGCAGGGTGAAATGTCCAGAAACTTTGGGAAGCCAAGGGACAGGAGGAGGCTGACCTGTGGTGGGGGAGGTGGTGAGAGGAGAAGGAGAGTGTGGAGTGACACTCTTGAATGATGATTTCATCTTTGCCATGCCAGGAACTTGGGGGGGGTGAGAGGAGAAGGAGAGTGTGGAGTGATACTCTTGAATGATGATTTCATCTTTGCCATGCCAGGAACCCTGCTTGCCAAGCTCAAGTCAACTGTATGCCAGAGCAGGAAACCCTGAGGACTGGCAAGGAAAGGGAGAGGGGCCTGCTGCTGGTCTTCAACCAAGAATACCAGGGCCCCATTTCCACCCAACTACCACATCAGTTCCAGTGCCTTCAACAGCTCCAGAAGTCTCTTTGTGTCCACAAAGAAACCTCTGCTGGACTGCAAGGTCCTACAGGCAGGCAGGGTTAAAGACAGTCCTCCACACCTGCTGCTAGGGAAAAGAGGGCTCAAAAGGATACCGGTGTGTGTGTGTGTGTGTGTGTGTGGGAGGGCTCAAAAGGATACTGGGGTGTGTGTGTGTGGAAGTGAGCCAAGCTTCTTTGAGACCTGGACCCCTAGTGACTGAGGTTTAACACAGGGACCTCTCTTGTCAATCGAGTGCTAACTGCACTCATTAGCCAGCCTACTGGCAGGTCAAAGTGCATGAAGTGTCTTGCTGACCCACTTGGGTAAAATGATGTCCACTTTTTCAGAGATCTCTACAGGTTAAAGGGCTTAGTTGAACCTTATGGTGCAGTGGTTAAACTACTGCAGAGAAGACTCTGCTCAAGACCTGGTAGATAGCCTTTGATTCGTATTCCTGCAGTGAGCAGTGGGTTGGACTCGATTGGCCTCAGAGGCCCCTTCCAACACCATGATTCTATGATTTTTATGATTGTATGACTTTAGTTTGATCCTGGGCTCAGGTAAGCTGGCTCAAGGTTGACTCAATTTTCCATCCTTCTGAAATTAGTAAATTAAGTACCCAGCTTCCTGAGGGGGCAATGCGTAGGCTGCATTATTAAATTATAAACTGCCTAGAGAGAGCTTTAAGCACCATATAAGTAGTGCCCTTTGCTATGGGTAAGACTTGTTTACAATGTGACAATGAGAATTTTAGCACCATAAAGACTTAAGATGTTTTATTTGGCCAAAGTTTTAGCTGGCCACAGGTCACTTCATCAGATGCAGGAGTCATCGTGATTAAGAAAGGGAAAATAATCTAGAGAAAAGACATGGAAACCTCTCCACAACCCTGCCCACAGCTGCCCATGCTCCACACACTCCCTAACCCATGCACTTTTTTCCTACCCATACCATGATGCAGTAGGATTATGGCCTCTGCCTTTCACTTTCTGAGCATTTGGCTGCTTCCCCCAGCTGAGGTTGAGCCACCTAGTTGGTTACTTGCCTTTTGCTTTTACATTTACTCAGAGAGTTCTGAAAGGGTCTCTTTCAATCTCACCTTTCAAGTCCATCCAGGTTTGTTCAGAAAAGTTGAGAGTCTTGTGATTCAACAGGACCTCTAAGGAGCCAGAGTGTTCTGGAATACGTATCTCAATCACATCTGAATCATTCTCCTGCATTGCAATGGCAGAGAAGCCTGTCACCGGGGCTTCTGCTCCTACCAGGTAATTTTAAAACAGAATCAGAATGGCTTATCAGGCCCCTGGGGACTGAAGGTAAAATTTATATTGCATTTATCATACCCTACACTTCTACATTGCATTTAATATACCCTAATCCATAGCCCCCACCCCACCCCCTGCAAAGAGCTTACAATGACAAACCAATGGTTACAAAATGTGGAAATTTTAAAACTCTGGTAGCTTGGCACCTACAGAGGACTGGGAAGAAATCCCTTTTGACTCACCTACTCAGAGAATATGGGTCGTTCCAATTCAACCCTGAAAAAGCTCTGTTCCTTATTAGAGCAGGGCAGGGCAGGGCAGGGCAGCCAGGAGGAGAAGGAGCTGAAGCCCAGCCATCTTCATAGATAAGAGGGTTCATGGGACACATACAGAGGACACCTGGTCCCTGGTACCTTTTGTGAATTTAGAGCTTTAGAAATCAAACATTCCACCTGCATTTAACTTGTGAGACGATAGCCTCATTCAACCTTCTGAAGGGCTGGTACATGAAAGGTTTTGCTTTGATCCAAAAGGGAGTCTTCCTGGAGTGAAGAAGGCTTTGACAGAAGAAGGAGCTGCACTTAAAACAGGGTGGGTGTCCCTTTATTGCAGATTTCTAAAGAAGGGTTAAATGGCTGCTATCAAGGATACTTAATGGCAGTGGCTATGTCCTGCCTCGGTCTGGGAATGGACCTGAACATCTTCTGTCTCCTCTCAGCTCTGATCTCAGACCCTCTCTTTCACTGACCGCAAGCAGGTTCTCCTCAGACATGGGATGTAGGAAAGCAGATCAGTTTGGGGAGGGAGAGGCTATTGGAGAGAGAGAAAAGCCTTCCAGAAAAGGCCACAAAAGCAACCCCAAACCTCACCTTCCTTTCCACTCAGCAGCTTGACAAGCTGAGTTCTCCCTTGAATCCTTAACCATGTCAGGTCCGACTCCACCAGGGTATATTCTCCAAGGCCTTTGAAGGTGAAATTCATGCCATCAAAAGTAATAAAGTGAGGATCTCCAAAAGCTGAAGCTGAGAAACAAACACAGGGATGGAATTTAAATTATGGTTCTTGCTGATTATTGGGAATGTAATGTGAAAACTGCAAGTGCTCTGTGAATGAGGACCCACGTAGATCACCCTGAGTCTGTTTCTCAAAGGACTGTACACACAGCCACCTTGGACTGTTTTTCCTCTCAACCCATGCATCAAATATTGTATCTGCTAAGAACAGACCATATCAGATCTGTCCTGTTGAATGTCATCTACTAGAAAACCACCACAGGAACAGGTGAAACCTGTCCCATCCTACAGCATCAGGCTTCAAGGGGAGCCCTATTTTGAGTTTTGCCCTCCAGATAACCCCAGTTTCTCTGTAAATTACAGCCACACTCTTCTTTTGGATCTTCTATAAAACAACACATACTGTATATAGTAACCCTGTCATTTTAATGAACTAATTACCGTATTTTTCGCTCCATAAGACGCACCTTTCCATAAGACGCATTCATTTTTTAGGAGAAGAAAACAGGAATATATAATCTGTTTCCTTTGCTCCATAAGACGCACAGACTTTCCACCCCCCTGTTTTGTGGGGGAAAAGTGCGTCTTATGGTGTGAAAAATACGGTAATCAGGCTCTCTGCCTAACAGGTGCTCAGAGCAATTTTATTTCAGAATGAACTTTCATAGATCATGTCAGAGTATAGAAATTTTATAAGCCTGAACCTGTATATGTGTTTCATTAACGAGCTGTCATTGTGCACAGATGTGAGAGTGCTGAATCACTCTGGACATGATGTAATGACTTGAAACCAGGAGAAGACCAGGTGCAAAGCATGAAGTCATCTGTTTTCTGATTGGACAAAATATGCCATGTAAATGTATATAAGTGGACTGTGTGTTTGCTTCTTTCTCTTCCTCCACTATCATTTGCTGCCACGCATGCTGTTCGTTTGTATAAAGAGTTCCTGCTGTGCTGTTAAGATACCTGCCTGTATATAACTGTAAATATGTGTAAATACAACTGTCTTGTAACAAAGAAGAACTTGTAAGTGTCTTCAATAACTCTGCGTATTTCTACTGTTGCCAAAAACCCTAACAGATCACAACATACTGCTTACAGATTTGGGATGCAATCCATGAAGGCTTACACTGAAGTAGGTTTGAAATAATCTTTAAGGTGTGAGTGCTGTTCTGTTTTTAATTTTTGTTATACCTGCCTTATTACAATAGCACCTTCATACCCTCACTTCCTGCAAAGCTGATCATTTCCAACTACATCAGCCACATAGGACTAGCCTTCTTGCATGCTGAAATGTTCCACTGAAGTTCTGGGCCTGTGAATTCATCAGCTAAGAGGCTGTGTTCAAATTGAAAATGTCCTGTAACTCAGTAAAATTTTAAGACTTGGTTTGGTTTTAGAAAGTTGATTGCCATCACACTGTCTCTCACAAATTAATTGATTGACGTTTTTATGCCTTTCACGAGTCCTTTGGGGGAAAAAAACCAGGCAATGCTTATTACATCGTTACAAACTGAGCTCCAGAAAATCATCCAGACATCTGTCAGTTTTGGAACAGTACCACCAAAGCCAGGGGGAAACATACCAGCTCTGGGAGGGCGGTATCTCCTGCAGCCGCTTGAGGGACGGTGCTTGAAGTAGATGGAGCAGTTGTCAGACCATAAGCAGCAGTAGTAAAAGCTGAGGACATCATAGATCCAGTGGGAGAAGCCAGGGACCCTAGGGGGCTTTTTGTAAGGAGGAGCTCCCCAGTCATGGCCCCGATCTGGGGTGCTGCCCCCAATGGAGTCCCCTGTGAGGACCTGGGTTCCTGCAGCATCATAGCAGCACTGTTGCCCCGCAGCATATTGTGGGCTGGTTGGAGACAAAGAAAGGAGAGCAGCTTGTTGTAACCCTGTAGAAGCCACAGGTCCTTGCAAAGGAAGTCACTGGCCATGATCATGGGCCGAACACTGCCTCACCTGGCTTGAACACTTCTCACACAGTGCACGGCGCCCTGGTGGTAGGTGCATACACTTCCCTTTTCTATGTCACACCCATAGTCTGTCTAAAAGAGAAGGGGAACATGTTAGGGAATGCCAGCTGAGTTCTGCTTTGATCCTAACCTGCGTTCGATGACAAACTTTACTCATAAATCTAAAACATTTGTGTTTGACCTTTCAGCAAAGGGTGTGTGAAATACACCAAAGGTGTTTGTAAGCGATGCCAGGCAGTGTAGGAAGAGGAAAAAACTACATCTCAGGGCCACTAAAAATCCGGGTGAGCAGGAAAATTTTAATGTGAGGTTAGGTATATAGTTTTATATATTCCTACAATCAAACTTATTTCTAGTTAAGCAAGCCTAGAACTTGAGCCTAAAGAGTGTTCAGTTTGACGGCGGGCACCCTAGTAAGAAACGGGAGGTTTGGAGGGATTGCACTAGGTCACATGTGTCAAGGCCTGCAGGCCAAATCCAACCCACCGGGCCATTTCCTGTGGCCCTCGCCATGTTGCCTGCTATTGTGCAGTATACAATACACAGGCGCTTGCTTGGTCACTCATAATGCTCCAGAAGGATGCTGGGAATCCACCCAGTGGGACTTCTAGCATTCCAAGCAGCAAAGAGTCAGAAAGTGGTAACTGAATGAGGAGGATTATATTTAATATGATAAAGGACAGATACATTTATATAGTCTTACAGATACAAGAGGCCCTTAGTTTTAAGGGCAACCTAATGCCAATGCAGCCCAAGAAGAAACTCAGGTTTACACCTCTGCACTAGGTGGTTCTCCAGAGACCATGACGCTAGGTCATGTAGAACACTGGTTCTTAACCTTGGGTTACTCAGAAGTTTTGGACTGCAACTCCCAGAAGCCTTCACCACCAGCTGTTCTGACTGGGGTTTCTGGGAGTTGCAGTTCAAAAGCATCTGAGTAACAAAGGTTAAGAACCACTGATGTAGAACATTGCAATTAAAACCACATTGATCTGCCCACAAAGAGGTGGTCAGCAAAGCTATTTGCGCCCTCTCAAGCAATCCATACACCCAAAATATTGAAGTTGACAGTGTTTCCATTGGATTCTGTCTATCTAAAGAGACTGAAGTCTTCAAAAGCATGGAAAGTGCCAGCATGAGAAGGACTATAGCTAAGCTATGGCTGCTTCCCATTCCCACCTGAGTGTTAGGTTACCCAGAATTTTTTTTTTCCAAGAAGAATGCTTGGGTGGATCTCAGCCTAGCTAAGCCGGAAAGCCGCCTAATTTAAGTATTTCTCCCAGGACCATCACTTTGAAGTATTGCAAGGTATCTACAAGGAAGGCAGAACTCCAAGAATGGAGAATGATGGTATTTATAGTCCAGAAAATACAAAATGCCCATACCTACCTACAGGTACTGTCCTCCTTGCATATCTTCTTTCTTGAGAATAGGAATGTACATTGAATGTTTCCAGTTTGTGGACTCTTTGATTTGTTCTTTATATCTGTTGGCGTGTTCTGGCTATTCTTCCCATACCTGCATTCATTTCAGCAACAGTGTGCTCTCTTTTGTTAATCTTAAATTGTCTTTTTTATTGTTAAAATGATTAGAATCTTTTTGCTGCCCCACAAGTATGAAGGTTTGTAGTGGCTGAAAAGGGAGCACAATGCTCTCCCTGTTCTGCGGCCTCTGAATGCAGCTGCTGTGTCTCTGAGAAGGCACCTCTCATGGCTTCCCCCAGATCAAGGTCTGACGAGACGCCTCCAAACTTGCTCCCAACCTTTCCTCAGCAACTGTCTCATAGGGTGTCCCTCCCACCCAGACCATCCTCTGGTCAAACACCAATGGCTTACATGAAATCGGCCTGTGTCAGCCCGGGCTTGTGCCAAAGTGCAGGGGCAATCTTCAATCTCGTCCAAAAAGTTTGGCTGGTCTCTCTCTCTGGCATCCCACTGGTGGCACTTTTCTGTGGCCCATGCAGCTGAATCCCTCCGGAAGTCATCACCCAAGTGCCAAGCCAGGGCATGCTCCGTGCTCCAAATGGCTGCCACATTGCTGGGGGTGTGGAACAGAACAGAAACAGCCATTGCAGAGGCAGACAGACAAAGGAATGCTTGGAGGCTGCCAAGGAACAGGCACTACATGATGACAGGTCTGACAAGAACCTGAGTAGAATTGTTAATACAGTTTTGTAAAACCATATGTAAGAACTTATAAATGCTGTAACTATTTGTAAGGATCACTGTAAAGAAATACTGTAAAATACTGATTTAGACAGCTGTGAAAGAACAAGATATGTAGTAAAACTTGCAACAGCTGTGTAAAGAAACCAACAATTGGCTGAAGGTGGAATAAAGCCAGCAGTTCCAGGACTCTACCTTGTGGCGTGGGTCAGAGGAGTGAGGAGGAATGCTGTCAGACAGATTTAACAAGGACAAAGATTTACTGGACTGATTTATGGATTGAAGCTCTTGATATTGCTGTGTATGACCAAAGGACTGAAAAAGGACTATGCTGTATGTATGAAACTTGCTGCAAACTTGATTTCAATATAATCTTTCTATAATCAACATTGTCTCTTTTCTTGATAACTCACTGAGCAACTTCGTTCTCTGGGAAAACTACTAGTTGGCACCCCTGGCATGCTACCAACGCTGTCACATGACTGACGTTGAGTCCTGTCAAGAGCCATTTCCGCTGGTTCAGGTTATGTCGTTTCCAGATTGGAAGTGGCACCTCTACTGAATGTTGGCATAGATTCCTTCAGGGTGACTCTGCTCAGGTTAAGTCTGGGGGACTGTCAACCTAATTAAACGAGTGGAGAGGAAGGAGAGAGGAGGGGGAGTAGGGTTGCTCAAAGCCAATAAGATTGATGGACGGAAACTTTGTTCCCAAGACTAAGAAAGACTTGGCAATGGGATGGTACTTTTGGGACTTGTCTTCCCTCAAAGGAGCTGAGCTCCTTGCAAGATTCTGATTAGCAGAGACAGAATGAGAAGTTAAGACAGGAAGCAGTGACTGCTCATCGCTATCTCATCCCATGCCCAATTCTTCTCCTTCCCACCATTGTTTGTAGGACATGGGAAAGTCCTTCCTTGTGTGACTGGGTCAACATGAGAGGATGGTTGGTAGTTTTAAATTTCTGGGTACTTACATCTCAGAGGACCTCTCATGGACTATAAATGCCAACATGCGAATAAAGAAGGCACAGAAGAGGCTGTATTTCCTGAGAATGCTCGGGAAGTTAAATTTATCACAGCATGTACTTCTGTCCTACTATTGTAGCACCATTGAGAGTGTCCTAACCTATGGCATTCTGGCATGGTTTGGGAGTAGCTCTGTAGCGGACAAAAAAGCTCTACAGAGAACCATTAAAATTGCCCAGAATATCATCGGGCTCCAGCTACCAACCCTGGATGACATCTTCACATCCCGCTGTCTGAGGAAGTCACACAGCATCCTGAGAGACTCTTC